CCAACTGTCTCAGCCTGTCTTCATAGGTGAGGTGCTCCAGCCCTCTGATCATCTTCACAGCCCTCCAACAGCTCCAAGATCTCAGGAGCTGGATGCAGTAGTCCAGGTGGGGTTTCACGAGAGCAGAGTAGAGGGGCAGAATCACCTCCCTTGACCTGCTGGTCACACCTCTTTTGATGTAGCCCAGGATGCAGCTGGCTTTTTGGGCTGCAAGCGCACATTGCTGGGTCATGTTGAGCTTCTCATGAACCAAAACCCTCAAGTCCTTCTCCTCAGGGCTGGTCAACCCATTCTCCATCCAACCTGTAGTTGTGCTTGGGACTGCCCTGACCCAAGTGCAGGACCTTGCTCTTGGCATTGTTGAACTTCATGCGGTTCACATGGGCCCACCTCTCAAGCCTGTCAAGGTCCCTCTGGATGGCATCCCTTCTCTCCAGTGTGTTGACCACAAATTGAATCCCACAATACTTCATCATTTCTAACAACTCATATGTTCCAAAGAAAGAACAACCATCTGAAATGGTTGATGCAAATATTTATCAATATGTATTAATACTTGTGATCACATGGAAATTCTAATATTGCACTATGGAGATACTTCTAGAAGGTCAGCTCTAAGCTCTCAATTATATTTTATTTGTACTAATTCTAGAACCTTGACACATATTTGCAGTCTTGAAAGTTTCTTATATAACCGTATACTGTATGTGTAAGAAGGAGAGTTGTATCTGAAGTGAATTCTGAAGTAAAATTTAGCTGCATTGAATTCCAAGTCTTAATGTTGCACTAATGCAGTTTTTGGCATACAATAGAAAATGACTTACCAGGTAAAAGGAGCTCTCTGAAGCTGGCATCCATTAATTTTTCAAAATCTTGAGTAAGATTATCCTCTATTGCATAACACTGGAAGCTGTGAGGAAAGTTCAAGAATTTTCCTCAGTCTTCAACAGGTGTTTCTTGAAGGATGTTTACACTATCTTTTTGAAGCCTTATGTTCTTCTCTGACTTTCTAGGTTTGGGTTTTGGTTTGAGTTTTTTTTTGTTTTAAGTATGATATAATAAAATAAACATGGATCCAGAAAGGAGAACTCTTCAGTGAACTCCAGTTACAGGACAGTCAATTTTGTTTTGTCAAAAGCTACTTTAAAGATAGCCTAATGATTAGGTGATTAAAATACTAGAAATGTGCCTTCATCAAGCGCAGTGACATTAAGAAAAAAAAAATCCATAAATCTTATTTGGAAGAAAAAACCCCAGCAACTGGTAAATAGGCTAAATTTAGAAGTGATAGAACCTACACAGGTTTTGATGCACTAGCAAAGGGGGACTTATCTTCATCCTGTCCTCTGAAAATAGATATGGCAAACCGCCCCTAAAATTTGGTACAACTTCTAGCTATTACTTCATTATCAATTTTTTTTGCCAATAATAATAATTTTAAATTAAGCTTATGAACAAACTAAGTGTAATGGTGACTATATTACATACCTGGAATATTCAAGTGCACACAAAATTCAAGTAAATTTGTGGAAAAAATCAATTCCTGAAATTCTTTATTAACAAAATATCTAGAATTAAACTAGAATGTACTGGTAGGTGGCATCAAGTAGGTAGAGTGTCTTTTGTTAAATCAATGGATTTAGAAATTTTCATTCCAAGTTTTGTAGACACTGGATCTACCTCAACTTAGCTGAGCCTGACTGTGTATTAGCTGAAGCTGAGTGTCTGTGTCTTTATTTTCTGTGCCTCTGAGAAGGAAGTTAATACCCACTGGACATATCTTGTAGGGATGTGCTAGGTTCTTTTTCGTTGTTGTTTTTACCATGGATATCATGGTCATATTTTCATGGTGACTATCATTACTTGTATAACACTACAATTTTCAGATGAAACACTCTCCATTGGTTGCACACCTGGGAGATTCTTGATCTGGGCTACGGCTCAGACAAAGTACTACAGATGACCACATTTCTACAAGAGACAAAATTTCCTATTCCAAGCATTGCAGAACACCTATGCACATCCAATTGCATAGGTGACGATAGATAGAAGCAGTAAGCTGTTGAATATTTTACTGGAGGGGAGGGCAGGACAAAAGGAAGGAGGAGGGGAGAGAGCTTTAAGCTTGTTCAGATTTCTAAATCAGCCACCAAACAGCTGCACAATTGTCACTGCTAGTACAAGGAACAGAACTGAACCAATTATCTGGGGGAAACACACTGAAGGATATCAACAGATGCTATATTAATTAATATTGCAACAGCTCCAATATACAACCATATAAGCTAACTTCATGCATATTTTTAATTTAGGTATTCAATTCAAAATTTTTTCCCAACCCATCACTAATGATGAAACATCAAACACTCAAAACTTTTTATCTTAAACATTTCAGAGCTCTCCTGAAGAACTCTGAACAGCAAAAAAAATTCTACCTAAAGAATACCTGGAGAAGAGAAGACTGAGAGGGGATCTCATCAATACCTATAAATATCTAAAGGGCAAATGTCAAGAGGAAGGGGCCAGACTCTTTTCAGTGGTGCTCAGTGACAGGACAAGGGGCAATGGGCACAAACTGGAATCCAGGGAGTTCCATCTGAACATGAAGAAAAACTTCACTCCGAGGGTGACCGAGCACTGGGACAGGCTGCCCAGAGAGGTTGTGGAGTCTCCTTCTCTGGAGATATTCAAACCCCGCCTGGATGTGATCCTGTGCAACCTGCTCTGGGTGATCCTGCTTTAGCAGGGGATTGGAGTAGATGATCTCCAGGGGTCCCTTCCAACCCCTACTGTTCTGTGATTCTGTACTAAGAAAGCTTTCATGTTTCCCAGTGGATTTTGCAAAAATTTACTCCCAAAAAGCTACAGAGACAAAGCTATCAGCTTGTTTTTAAATATTAATTTCATAAACTACATCACAGAACTACTACCTTGACTAACCAACAACTTACTTCTGTCTCCATGAAATTTCTGACATGTTTTTACAGCAACAAAGACATCTTCCTTTTTCACTGGCTCTCCCTACATGAACAGAACAAAAAAGAATTTTGTAATTGCAGGCTCTGTCTGTAACATTTTATAGGATATGTATGTCCACACATACAATAAAACAGAAAATACCTTTTCATTGTACAGCATATCAAGTAGAATAGTGTACCAGTAATACAGTAGAAAGTACATTTTTGTCTCTTAGAAAAAAGGTCACTAGTGGTTTAAAATTCCTGAAATAACATTATTGAAATGCTTTTGCCAATGATGTAGTATCCTAACATGAGCTAAACCACGTATCATTAGGAAAAAAGAATGAGCAGCAGAAGCTATTGAACTAAGAATGATTAATCTGAAGAATGTTTTCTTAATTTCTTTGAAATTAATCACTATGAGAACATGTTGAACTGTATCATACTTGGAAAAAGAAGCTTAAATGCTACACAGTAGAAATCTTTGAATTTTCTCAACTCTAATAAAATCACTTAACCTTTTTTATTTGTTTTCCTTTATGGCACCTAGAAATCATAAAGCTTCTGGCTCTTCTGGAAGCATGGAACATTTTTTGGCCTCTAGCGACAGTTAACCCATAATATCATAAATGTATTCTTCTAGAGGTGGAAGAGATGGGTTGTACTTTAATGCACCAAATACTATATTACATTTTATCTTTAGCCTCAACAAGTTTTAGATTCCCATCTGCAAAAAAAATTATCTGTACTTTAGTATCTCACAGAAATGTAAGGAGAAATACTTTATAGATCATGGGCTGCTCAAACACTGCAGTAGAAAGACCCATTAAAGCATATGTGGTACTAGTTTGCCAGGAAATATCATGTGCCATGGAAGGCTGAAAGCATATTAAAAAATAGATAAATGCCAGGACAAACTTTTTTTTCCTTTTAAATTACTGAAAAATATTTTCTTAAGGTTTGAGATTTTTAAAGTCAAGTATTATGCATTTTAGTAGGAGTTTTACCTTTACTAAGCAACTGGTACTTAAAATATGTTACTTACACAAAGTGGCAGAAAATTACTGAACGTTGTTGCACAACGATCAACATTATATGAGTTCACATCATCTGTGCAGAACTCAGGCACTGGAGTAAGATGCGGTCCTTCCCCTTTCTGCCAAATATACAGGGCAATCTATCAAAATAGAAAACATTTATATCAGTAATGAAACTGGATAAAAATTCTTAGCGTATACAAAGAAATCATATTACAGGACAAACTTAACAGGAAAACTGAAACATACAGGATGCTGTAGATCTGTCCCTTAGTTGATTAACTAGCTGCATACCTTACCTCTTGCTCACATTTCCTAGAGTCAACATGTAAATTTTTTTTGCTATAAAAAAAATTCTACAGACAGACAAGCTTTAAAATTTGTTTCACAGAATTACTATTAGTTTCATATATTTGAGCATGTCAAAACAACTCATCTTTATCTTTTATAAGAAGTGGCAGAGTGAGTATTTACACCTGCTTTTAAAGTAAACAAAAATCCTTATTGTGTTTCTCTTTTAAAATTATTTTGATAATTTGGAATAGCTAGGCCTGTTTCATCCTGTGTGGCAATTTTCAGCTTTTCAAAACAGACCTGTTCTCTGATGACAATTTAAAATGCTCAAAATCAGTACTGAAATTCTGAGAAACTGTAAAATACAATGAAGGATAATGTAATAGATATGCTATCCTATAGAAGAATCTTGACCATTTTAAATGCAACAACAACACAAAAAAAAAGCCAGCCAAAATTTAGAGAGAAAAAGGAAGAACCAAACCAGGGATGTCTGAAGAAGATAAAACCCCCACCCCTTTGTATTTACATTCAATTCATAATAAAAATAAAAATATTTCAATCTGTACTTCATGACACATCAAGAATACTTAGACTTGCCCAGTATTTCTATTGCAATACTTTTACACTGCTTGCAACTTTGCCAGACTAAGTATTCAGGCAGAAACGTTCTACGCTGGGTGCCTACCTCAGACCAATTAAAACATTAATTTCATTTTATATAAAACTCTTCAGAAACTTGTAAGAACAAAATGAAGTTCTTAAAAATCTAAAAGGCAGAAAATAGTATCTCAGTAAGTATGTGGATTCAGGGCTTCCCAGCTGCACTGCCATACACTCCCAATTCTCTCTTAGTCTCTCTTGAGGATAGGCCAAAGATGTGAAAGCATCTTTGGACAAGAGCTTTTTGAGCATATACTCAAGATGTAGGAGATCTGGGTTCTAGGTTTGCTTCTGCCTAACTCAGCCAGAAGTTACAGCTTCTAGTTTTCAAAATGGTGGCTACACGAACAAACCAGAGATATTCTGGGACAGAGACTCTCCATGTTAACTAATGAAACTGAGTTACTGTGCAAAAAATAAGATTCATGGAACCAACAAGACAGCATAGTGAAGGGGATTCTGACTCTGCAGCACAGTGGGAATGAGACTCCTCCGAGGGAGGAAAATCAGTCTTGGGTTCTAGTTCCTGTTTCCCATGTTAATTACACATATCCCCAACGACTCTTGCAGAGAAAACAACTTAAGTGCTTCACTGGAATATGGGACCAGACCCAGCACACCCCAAAGACAATGAAAATGAGTTTCCTTTTCACTGTTTTATGCCTACTTAGGAACTGTTAGCTTTAAACCAACCCCAACCTCAAGTCAGAATTCAGCTCCTCTTTTAGCAAATAACGTGATCGTTAGGCTATTACTAAAAGGGCATACTATTTCCTTCTCCCCAGCATTCAGGAAGAACTCAGCACAAACCAAAAGCATTAAGTATGGTCTGGACAAGCCCAAGCCACCAAACCAATTACAGACTTCTAAGTTATAGATGATTATTTTCCTGCCCATCTCACTTAGGTCTCAACATCCTCAGAAAATCCCAACTACCTGTACACAGTCATTTCTGGAACTTAAAGGAAATAAAACAGAAGTTTGTTACAGGCCTTGTTATGACTGGGGGCAGGCTGGAGAATACAATCATATTTTTGAAACTTAAGTTTCATCAACATTTAGTTTGATTGCACTGGAAAGAGTTTAAATTACTGTATTTTTCCTTGTAACTGAGTGGATGCAGATGACTGGGACCTGTGAGTACAAACATGGGCACTACCACTGCTCAGCAAATAGTGACTTGCTAAACCACTGTAAGCTGCAGGTTCCTTCAATATTAGTTTCTAGTTTGTAAGTTCTAATTTCTTAGCTTCACCATTATTAAGTGGTCTGTTTATTTGCTGTTTTGGCAATGCTTCTGAAAACACAGATGATCTTAGCATTACAGATGAGTTCAACAAAGTACTAAAGGGAAAGGCCACTCTATAGGGAAGAAAATGCATAAGCATGAGTGGCAGTTAAGACAAATCTTATTGATAGTGCTTGGAGTAGAGGAGGAGTATGCAAATGACACCTAAAACATACACATTGTCCTAAGAGCAGCCAATAAATACACACATATCTCCAAGGTTCTCTTTTTGCCTTGTCACCACATTCACATTATGGGATATAAGTGGTTCTTGACCCTGCCTTCTAGCTGGAAGAGAACCTAACAGCAAGGGGTGGGATTTCTGAAGAGCTTCCAGTACATTTTAAGATTGTATTAGTTCAGAATTCATGTCTATCAGATGAAACAACAAAGAAGCAACACTCCTGCATCACAAAGAATATTTAACAATTGTAACTTAACATGAATTATTTATGAAAGTTCATAATGTGCTACGATTTCCCACTGAATAATGAAATCTTCAATGGAAAGCCTTAGAACGGTGTGACGCTATCATATTTCAGAAGTGAGGTTAGAGTGACATTTTGAGTTATGGAACAGGATGACAGACTGTTCCTAAAACAATGGAAATGGATTTACAATAAAAAGACAAGAAATAGTCTTAGTCTTAGTCCTAGTTCAAATCTAATGTCAGATACACAAAAAACTATTATTCACTTCCAGTCCTGAATAAGCATCAGGGAATATGCTATATATTGTGCAGTTACAAAAAGTCTAAAAAGCAATCTACAAATGAGCGGAAGCACAACAAAACCCCTTTACCATATTTGCAAGATGGAATTTTTAGATACAAAGTGATATAAATGTTATGGATATAAGAAATAGGGACTTGGAAAGTAGTAGGGTAAAAAAAACCTGATACAGAGCACAATAACATACCAAAGACTAGAGGCATATGTTATTAGGACTCTGTCAAACTAAAACATTTCTTAAAACATTTATCATCCTTCATAAATTTAAACATTACATACAATCACTAAAGATCACAGATTATATCCTTTGTTTTGTTGTCAATCTTGATTCACACAAGAAGGACGTAGAGATAAAAATGATTCAAGAAAGAGAAGATGGTGATTTATAAAATAAATGAGGGGGAATGGAACTGTGTCTAGGGAGACACAAGACTGTGCAGAAAGAATAACTACAGGGCTGAAGTAGGTTATCAATGGCAATAAATTTGAAATGAAACATACGCAAAGAACTGCTAACAGAGTAAGAAGTGGACGGAAGTCATTTTGCCAGTCGAGTGATCAATTGTTTTTCATTAAGCAATCTGTGGCACATAAAAGAAATATTTGCTAATGATTATTTTTTTTATGACATTATATTTAGAGGCTTTGTCAGTGCTGAGGTAGACTTGAATATTGAGAATATATGAATGACTTTGAAGTAACTTACAAAAAGATTAACAGAAGCCCAAGTTCTTGCATTTAAAAAAATTAACAAGAGGAAAGAAACAGCTTGTTGGCTTGTTTCACGTAGCAAAATGAAAGCTGAGAGGCGTCTAATTGCTTTTGAAAAATACATCAGTCAAGGAGGGGAAATGGTGAAAGAATTGTATTGGCACAAAACCCAATTCATTTAAATATACTACCAATTTATACTCTATAAATACACTGTAAATTTATGTTGGAAGTGAGGAGGTTTATAACCATTACAGAACAAAGATCTGTAACAGAGGCAGTAGTTTTAAGTAAGGTGATCTTTTTGGGGGCTGGAACCAGAATTTATAGCTGACATTCAGGAGTTTTAAAAAATTAAACCAAATTCAATATCATGCATAATTCCAGGCCAAAATCAGCAAGCTTATTCCACATTCATCCTCACCTTCCACCCTGGTTCAGGAGTTCACTTTGGTAGCAGTACAAAACTCTGTGCTGCACAAACATTTTGAAGGCAGAAAAAAAAAAAAAGCTTCAGAAAAGGTAGCACTGATACTCTTTCAGATCCCCCCACTCCTTTCTTCTAATTTTCTTTCAGTCAACTCACTCATTCGCTGAAAGACCTAGTGGCTACCTTTTAAAACTGTCGCAAACCAGATGTATTGGGTTTGTATGGCAAGGTTTTGGCAGCAGGGTGGGGGGTTGCAGGGGTGGCTTCTGTGAGAAGCTGCTAGAAGCTTCCCCTGTGTCTGATAGAGCCA